TTTTGCTCCCCCTTTCCCCCCCCCCCCCCCCCACGTGAAGGTGAAGCTCCAGAAGTTTGGTCGGAACGGCTTGAGGCGGTGCGCGCCAGCCGGCGGAGCGGCGCCGAGCGCCCTGCGGGAAGGCGTGGGGAGAGCGGGGCAGACGGGCAGGGAGGCCCTTGTTTCCCCCGGCCTGGGGAGGCTTGCAGGTACCAAAGGCACTGCGTTGGGTTGTGCAGCGCTCCCGCTCCCTTTTGCTCCGCTTGGCTCTCTGGAGGAAAATAATGGCTGTACGACTTGGTTATAACCAACAAGAGGTCCAGCTTTAGCGTTTGGGCATCGGAACAGTAAAATAAATGGCAGTCCAAGCAACTGTGTCGAAAAAGTGATTTATGAGTAGAGACTAAGCGTTTAAAATGACACCTCAGCAACATTAACAGCTTAACAGCTTTTTTTTTTTTTTTTTTGTAAAATATACTTTGAAGGCTCAGTAGCATTTATGCCGTATAACTGTTGAAATCGAGAGGACTGACACTGAAGTGGTTGGCTGTAAGTTCAGTAAATAGGTTTGGTTAATTCTTATTTTTTTTAACTGAACCTCTGGGCTCAGTAAAAATGAATTGGTATGGATTTCTTGGATAACCTCGTGGCTTGAGTATGCTGTCAATATATAAAGCAGTCCTCCAACTTAAGGCAGAAGTGTTGCTATGCTGCAAATACAGTAGAGCCCCATATGTTTAGGATTTTCTTTTTTTTTTTTCCCTGTTAGAAAGTTTGAAAAAAAGAGACTTTGAAGTATTTTGTTTATACTAACAGAAGAGAAAAGTTCTCCTAAGAAAAAGCTGGTGGCAGGAGTGTAGAGGAGTAGCATATGGCATTAAAAGGAGCACAGCTGGAGGTAGCATTTCCATCTGAACATGATGTCAGAGCAGCTGACAGCCTGCCATCCCTCAGCCTTTTATTCTAACACACAGACAGGGAGTTAGTGTGTGCAGATCTGTGTGTGGAGAAGGTATCTCATTCCTCTCTAACATCATCTCCACTTTGCATCTGTCTCTCCTAGTCTGCTTTTTTTCCACCGATCTAACAGACCTGGAGCCAGCAAGACTCAGAGGAAAGGACTTAATCAGGTTTATGTGTACTAAAGGTAGGAGTAGCAATAGATTAGATACAGCATATTTCTGTTTTGGTGTGTTGTTTATTGAATTTCAGAAAAAATCACATTACTTTTCTAACCAAGTTTAGAGGTAATATATGAAATTGAGTATTAAATAGATAAGTGGACTTAGTCAAAAGGCTTGGGCTATAGTTTTGAGAGTATCAGTTCTTATGCACGTTGTCAGAATTAACTTTAATGCATATTGTGAGAATTTCTTATTTTACAACGTGGAGAGAGCAAGTTCATTCTTAATTTCTGAGACCAAAACTGAAAGGTATTTACTGGCAAGCCTAATGATAGCTGTGGTTTATATTGTTGTATAGCATCTTTAAGATGACTTCAAGGAGGTTTTAATTGAAATATACAAAAGTGTGCTTTTAAAAAAGGAATCATTCTAGCTCAAATGCGTTTGTTGTGAAGTCTTTCATTAAACTTCGTGGTTAAATATCCAGCAGCCCAGAACGATAGCAGCATACAGCTGTAATGCTTCTGAAAGATAGAAATCAGTTATGTGTTTAAAAACTTTTGTACCCAGGAGAATAGCTTGACTGGTTTCCTCTTTTCTTTCTCACATGTAGTATTTGAAATCTTTTATTTCAGCATAACAATAATTATTTGAAGGAGTTTTTGTATTTGCGACTAATTTAGAACTTGTAGATTTGAGCTGCCTGAATTGGCCAGACAGCTGTAATCGCACTCCTCTATTCTTAATCTCTTTATCTGGGCAGCAGCTGCCATATGGCCACAGTCAGCTGGATCAGATGTTTATAAGCTTCCTTCTTCGTCCCTCTCTGTCCTTTCAGCCTCCTAATTTGATCACAGCTACCTTGTGAGCTGCCCTCCAATCTTTATTTTTAGCCCTCTTAAGGATTAGGATTGATGTTGGCTGTGGGGCACTTAAAGTGATTGTATTGTAAATCTTCGTGCTTTACTCTAGCAGTGGTATTTTACAGAATATAGTAGGGGTTATGTTGTAAGTTTTAGTTCATCTTGGCTTGTGAGGGATGAGTATTTTTCAATAATATCTGCCAACCTAGAGATCCACAGTCTGTTTAGATGGTTTGGGAGAACATTGCTATCAATCACAGAAGAACAGATCAGAGAGATTTTTAAGAGATTTTACTTTCTGTTTGAGTTTTGACTTCTCTACTTCTTTGAAGTTTTTATCATCAAGGAAGGTGAATAGAAAAATACTTGGGTAAGAACAGTACTCGGGATACTCTTTAAATATGCACACATGCACAAACCGTCATGTTGAATCACTCTTTTTTTTTTTTAAGTTTGGTACTGCAAACTCTCAGTGGTGTGGAAGGGGAGGGAAATCTCTGCCCTTCTGCATAGGGGAAGCAGTATTTGTTGGCATTTTAGTCGTAGTTTTCTTTCATAAATTCTATGTGTTAGTAAAAATATTTCTATTCTATTGTACAATATGGAGAAGACTTACAACCTAAAATTGTACTTAATAGAAGCAGAAAACATCATGAACGAAATTTCTAAAAACCTTCATTTTGCGATCGATCAAAATTATTTCTCCATGTCTATTTATGTTCTTTATGAATGTCAGACATTCAGATTTGGGTATATTAATATATCTTCATGCACTGAACTCTCCTGTTACAATGTTGATGGTCTGATTTTTTTTTTTCCTCTGCGATGAGTATCTCGCAAACTTGTGGCATTTAACAATTTGTGGTTTTTTTTTTTTTTAATTTTTGTTCTGCCTTCTTAGGGGCACAATCTGGAGGAAGTTGTCTGAAAAAATAACTGTTGAACAGATTTAATGGACAGCAGCGATACCTTAAAAGAATTACAATTGTTGCTGAGCGCTTATTAGAGCAGCCTATTTGCCACTAAAAGGAAGGCATAACTTCAGGGTTGGTCGGGGACAGCCATTGCACGTGTTAAAAAAATCTTTGCATAGTGGCTGTGTTAGTATTCTGTCACTATAAATGCTATGTTTTTAGAGTGGAATAATTTGGATTCATCCGTTCTCTTATTTTGACCTACATTTAATTTTTAAAAATCTCGTTGCTTATAGGTTATGAAGACAGTATGGAGTTTCCTGACCACAGTAGACATTTGCTACAGTGTCTGAGTGAGCAGAGACATCAGGGTTTTCTTTGTGATTGCACTGTTCTGGTAGGAGATGCCCAGTTCCGAGCACACAGAGCTGTACTGGCTTCATGCAGCATGTATTTCCACCTCTTTTACAAGGACCAGCTGGACAAAAGGGACATTGTTCATCTGAACAGCGACATTGTTACAGCCCCAGCCTTCGCTCTCCTGCTTGAATTCATGTACGAAGGAAAACTCCAGTTCAAAGACTTGCCCATTGAAGACGTGCTCGCAGCTGCCAGTTATCTCCACATGTATGACATTGTCAAAGTCTGCAAAAAGAAGCTGAAAGAGAAAGCAACCACGGAGGCAGACAGTACAAAAAAGGAGGAAGACGCCTCAAGTTGTTCAGACAAAGTGGAGAGCCTCTCCGATGGCAGCAGCCACATGCCAGGAGACTTACCCAGTGATGAAGATGAAGGAGAAGATGAAAAATTGAACATCCTGCCTAGCAAAAGAGACTTGGCGGCTGAGCCTGGGAACATGTGGATGAGATTGCCCTCAGACTCAGCAGGCATTCCCCAGACTGGCGGAGAGGCAGAGACACACGCAACAGCAGCTGGAAAAACAGTAGCCAGCCCCTGCAGCTCAACAGAGTCTTTGTCCCAGAGGTCTGTCACCTCCGTGAGGGATTCAGCAGATGTTGACTGCGTGCTGGACCTGTCTGTCAAGTCCAGCCTTTCAGGAGTTGAAAATCTGAACAGTTCTTATTTCTCTTCGCAGGACATGCTTAGAAGCAGCCTGGTTCAGGTGAAGGTGGAGAAAGAGGCTTCCTGTGATGAGAGTGATGTTGGCACTAATGACTATGATATGGAACATAGCACTGTGAAAGAAAGTGTGAGCACTAATAACAGGGTACAGTATGAGCCGGCCCATCTGGCTCCTATGAGGGAAGATTCGGTCTTGAGGGAGCTAGATAGAGAGGACAAGGCAAGTGATGATGAAATGATAACTCCAGAGAATGAGCGAGTCCAGGTGGAAGGAAACATGGACAGCAGTTTGCTCCCTTACGTGTCCAACATACTTAGCCCTGCTGGCCAAATTTTTATGTGTCCTCTCTGCAACAAAGTCTTTCCCAGTCCCCACATTCTGCAGATCCATTTAAGCACGCACTTTCGAGAGCAGGACGGGATCCGCAGCAAGCCTGCTACTGATGTCAATGTCCCAACCTGCTCATTGTGTGGTAAGACTTTTTCTTGCATGTACACCTTGAAACGTCATGAGAGGACTCATTCAGGTGAAAAGCCCTACACTTGCACCCAGTGTGGGAAGAGCTTCCAGTACTCCCACAACCTGAGCCGCCATGCAGTGGTTCACACACGGGAGAAGCCACATGCTTGTAAGTGGTGTGAACGTAGGTTCACGCAGTCCGGAGACCTTTACAGACACATTCGGAAGTTTCACTGTGAGTTGGTGAACTCATTGTCTGTCAAAAGCGAAGCACTGAGCTTACCTACTGTCAGAGACTGGACCTTAGAAGATAGCTCACAAGAACTTTGGAAATAAAATTTTTATATATATAAATAATATATATATAAATATATATAGTTGTGGTACAGTCTAAAAGCAATCTTGTTTCCTTGAACTGAAAGTTTGGCTATTAGCTTGTTTTTGCACTTTAAGGCAGCATGAATATTTCACTAATTTAGCACTCTGATAAAAATGAAGTTTAGAGGTAATACAGCAAAGTAATAAGCTACGGAGCATATTTCCCCCTTTTTGGAATACAAGCCAGTGAATACTTTACTTTCAAAGAATCTCAAATTCGAAAATTTTGACATGGCTTTATTCTCCCCAAAACACTGCATTATTTAAAGCTCTAGATTTTTTTTTTTTCTTTAAAATCTGAATGTAGAAATCCTCTCCCAATTTTATCAGTTCCTTTACATTTCTAAAATTGCATGAGTCCTTTCTAGCTGTTGGAAACCTGAATGCTTTTAGACCCAAATGGAAAATTTCTGAAATGCTGGATTATCTATTTTTAAACAAGCGGTTGACTTAAAACTTATTATGGCAACTTCTGGATTTCTGACAGTTCCCACTGGAAAAAAAACAAAAACATAAAACAAAAACCCTGAAAGTACACTGGGATCACTGGGACTCTGTCTTATGTGAAGGTTTGCTTGGGATGAAAAAGGATATTGCAGCTTCAGCAGTGATGAACTGTGTGTTTAAAAATGTGAATTACTGTTATTGTATACTGTAATTGATTACATGGGCCGGGGGGAGGTATCAAAGAACTTGGCAGGTTGTGTTGATGCTCTTAGTTGAGTCTTGAAAAGTAAATATTAACGCTACAGAAATGCATGAGTTTCAGTATATTTTTGTCTTTGTTTGCATTGTATAACTTTAATGAGTGAGTTTAAAATTATTTAATTTCCTTAGGAAAAACACCATTGAAAGTACTGGTGTTACGAAGAACATAAATGCACTGTTTTTATTTTATATAATTTAAATTTACTTTCCCACTGTCTTTTAAGTTGAGAAAAACTTAAGCTACGAGTTGATAATTTAGCTACATAACAAGGAAAATATGAATGTTTACAAACAGGCTTAAAGATTTGCATGTGCAGTGTGCATTTATTAAAAGAAAACCTTCTAATTGCACAAACCCCATGCCAGCTCAAACTTTAGGTGCATAAGGATTCCTTCTGCACAAATCAACAATAGGTCATTCTTTTTTCCCCCCTTGAAAAGATTCTATGGACTGAAAAAGCCCCAGGCTGAAAGGACTGGAAAGCCTTGATTGACACGGGGGATGGGGGGGAGGGTAGAGGACTATGTGTATCCAAGCAGCAGAGACTGCAGCCTGACGTGTGGTTTTAATGACCAACACACAGGTCAAAAGCATTTTGCACAGTGTTTGTTTTCCTGTCTTGCACTTACAAATAAGGTCTATGGGAGTAGCATGGAAAACGTTTGCTGTTTTTCCTTTTTTTTCTGCTTTTGTTTAAAATTTGATCGCCTTAACTACTGTAAACATAGCCTATTTTTGTGCTTAAGATACTGAATGGAAAACTCCATTGTGTATTGCTGGACTGTTTTGGAAATATTTGGTCAAATGTGTGTTAATTTGGCTGTAATGGCATTTAAAACAAAAAAAAAAAGCTGTGAAAATGGCCTTGGAGCGTTATCTTTAGTTACTTGAATAGTTTCTAGGTTTTAAAAATACATTCTTTTATTAATTTAGAGAAGACAATCAGTGTCTGAGAAAAATGGACTTTCTCTTGGATTTTTTTGTGGTCCTTGTGAGTGATTGCTTTTTTTCTTTTATTAGTTTCACATTCTTCTTTTGTTCTAAAACTTAGACTGACATCTAGCTTTGACAATCATAGTATGTTTTATTTTCCTGAGGGGGGAATAACTTATAATGCTGTTTAGTTTTGTACTATTGGTGTGTTGGTGAATTTTTAAACTGTGTGCTAACTGCAATAAATTATATGAACTGAGAAATCAATTCCCTTGTCTTTTTTCCCTCTTTTAAATTATAGTTACGGAGTATTTTTTATAATGTGTAACTTTATTACTTTTGTACAGACTTCTATTGCTAACTGTGTATGGAATATGTTTTCAGTATGCTTTTGAGCACTTTGTTGCTAACGTACATATTTACATCTCACTTAACACTTAAAAAAAATTAAATGCTTGTGTTTTGAAAGCATTTCTGTGTGTGTAGCTCTCTATCATTCTCTAGAGGGAATTTTTTTTCAAAGGTTTTTGCAGAAGCCATCTATCAAATTCCAGAAATTTTAATACTAAGCAAATACCTATATATAAAGACACAATGTTCTTTTTTTCGGCATTTAGTTTCATCCCAAGTAGATGTGTCAGGTTCACTCTTTTGTGTTCAGTTTCTATCAGAAAATTAGAGCAGAAGGGAACAACTTAATTTGAAGTACTGGTCGGGTAAGACTGGCATTCTAGGCTACAGAGCAAGCAGGCAGTCCAAATGTCCAAAATATCGGCAATGCATCAATTGCTATTTGGATAGCAAAAGAAAATAAGAATAATCCTACATCTATTTGAGTATTTCTCACTCTTATGGACTAAACTCTTCAAAAAAAAAAAAAAAAAAGTCAGTGAAACCTTTGAAAAAGACGTATTTTAGATGTTTGTTGCAGAATATACCCAGAATTCTTTTTTCAAAACTGTACTATCCTAGGAACAGAACTAGTACTGCAAAGCCCAATGGGAATATAAAAGTAGAGCTAAATTAGAAGTCTGGAACAGAGACAGCAGTAGGAATTTGAATGAAAAAAAATCTTAATTTAAACATTTCATTACCTTTGTCATCTGAGTAGGTACGATGTCAATTGTACCTTGACCAAGCGAGTGAATCTCATCATCTAATGGTATATTGCTTATCTTTCTACGTCTAAAGTAATTTGTACTTAGGTAAAATGATTTTTCTCACTATCTTTTTTAATAACAATTTGCAAAGAACATTTGCCTTTTTTTTTCCCCCCTCTCCTCGTGAAGTGAGCTATTTCGGGTGTTTTGGGAACCCTTCCTTTTGTGAACATTAGTGTCCTCACCCATGTAGTTGTCTCTTTTTCTAGCAGCAAATCTTTTCTATAATCCAGACTTTCATATGATAGAATGTTATGTATTGTTAGGCAATTTAAAGTATCAATAACATTGAGAAAAGGTTAGTATCGTAGTTCTGAAATCCGTACAGCTGATGAGCTTTAGATGTTGCTCTAGACAAATTTATCATTTGTTCTTGAATGACAAGATTTTAAAGAGCTGTAGCTTCAAGAGTAAAACTAGACTTGAAGACCTTCTTCAGAGGGGTAATAGAAAACATAACCTAGCCGTTAATGACAAAATAATTCAAACTACGCTTCTCGTTTCGAGGTTTTAGCTGGCTGGTAGGTACATGTGCAGCACATGCTTGTGGCTATCAAAGCTTTTCTTCAATAAAAAGATGAACATACTTCTGTATGTTGCTTCTCTCTGTAAGATTTAACGTATTGGCATACCTAAATAGCTCTATATATATTTTTTTTTAGTATAGTCCCTAGATAATGAAGCATGAGGGAATGTTTTATTTGGCTTGGGGAACTGCGGTAACAAGATCCTTACGGTTCATGCTGCCATTATGGAGTACTGCAAATTGTGAGAATGGGGACTGTAAACTTTATAGGTTCAGAAGACTTTCTCTAACCGCTGATAGTCATTACTTTTTAACTGTGAACACTTCTCATTGACGACTCACGGGGCATATGCTAAATATCTTATTTCGGTATTTTTTAACCACTCCTAGTTGATAGCTTAATTTTTTTTTTAATTGTAAGTGATTTCTTTATACTGAAAGCTTATACTGATAGCTTACTGCATTATCTGAATGCAGATAATTTTGAAACAGGTGTAGTATTTGATAGGTTGTCTACTTAACCTTAAATAAGATCTTTGCATGTATGGTGAAGTTTAAAGAAGAATTTGTGAGGAGTTTGAAACAAAACTTCCTGGTCAATGAACAGAAGGGATCTTCATTACCTTTCCAAGAAAATGCATACCAAACAATTTCATATATTTCTGCTGAGCACTAAGCTGAAATAGCACATGCCTTCAAAACTTTGACTCACCTTGTTTCAAATCCTAAATAGTAAAGAATAATTTGCACAGCAGCATTATTCTCTTTCCCCCATGCTACTTCATCCCAGCAGCTGTGCCTGTTCACCTGCTCAGGAAGCACACCGAGGCTTTTCTTTTCCTGCCAAATTGTACTTTCTGCTTTACTTGTACAGATAATTGATAAAGGGACCTGTCGGAAGTGGGTCAAGCCTTTTTATTTGTTTGTAATTAAACCTGACTTCTACAATAATCAAACACTCTTAACTTTTTGTTGGACACTTCAGACATAACTTTTAAAATATATTTCTCTAGAACACTTTCTAAAATGTAAGCCTGAGACCCCCTTTTTTATGATTGACGCTGCAGCCATTCGTAGTTGAGGAGAACTTGGGAGGGGAGAAAACTACTGTGCTGTATCCTCTCCTTTTGAGGCAATGCAAATTCCTTCAAAATTGCACAAAGTGAAATATATTTCAAGTCTGCAAAAATACACTAAAATTAGAAAACTGAATTTAAAACTTTATAATATAGTCCTACATGGCAGCATTCTCAAACTTCTAAATTATTAACACTATTTGTACATGTGTGATATTGAAACTAAAATATTTCCAGAGAGTATGGACTTTTATGAAAGAAGTCTAACAATAACATTAAGCCTTTTTTACTTAAATTTGTGACTTTTAACCAAACTGCTCCATATTTTTGAAAGGAGGAGACAGCAAAAAATGAATGTTCTGAGCTCTTTCAACATATTTTGGTTCAGAAGTCTTTTGCTTATTTTTTGTTGCACTTCAGTCATAGTTTAATCATGTCATTAAATACAGTGAATTTGATAATAAAAATTATTTTCTACACAGTAATAGGGGAGTTCTTTTATAATTCTGTTTGTAAGAATGCCTTCGGGCAGAAGGTGGAAATGTTATCTTTTGTCGGCAAATTAAAATAGTCATAGGAAGAAGAACACTGCATATTAAAACCTAGAGCCAGGAGCTCATTCCAGTGTGATAAAATTCAGCTGAACATGTTAATGGGTCTTACTGATGAAACATTATGCCTTTTTCAGGAAGATTATCCATTTTATTCTTGTAGGCTAAAAAAGAAGCATTGCTTTTAACTGGTTATGAAATGTGAATGTTCCCTGTGCAAAGAACACAAAGCACCCCCATCCCTGTCAAAGGCAGAGAGGAGTTGTTAGCCATCCTGTAAAGCGAAGCAGCGATAAAACAAAAGGTGGTGTCGGCTTAACTATGCCAATGACGGCAAACGCTATTGAGATTTCAGGTGATACAAGGCTTTCCAAAAAAAAGTTCTTTCAAAGGTAACCTATGTTTCACTAGGAGTCTTTGACTAAAGTTGGAATTTCTCGGATTACCTAATTTTTTAGACAAGTAGAACCTGAGTAGGTTGTATGCTTATAATTTTAAGGTTGCTTTGGCTTCATTTAGTTTCTTACTTTGAGTTATTTGTCTGTTTAAGACAAGCACTCCACTAACACACCATACTCTTCATGCAGAATTTACAGCACTTTCATTCTTGATGACTCCTTAGCATTAACCATTTGTCCCAGGAGTCCAAAAGTGCTCATTTCTGAGTGAAAATATTTTCCTTGGTTGGACAGACTTTGTGCCTCTCTTGTACCGCAGCTAGAATCATTGGGCCAATTTTTCTATTATATGCTTTTGTTTTTGAGATTTTACAAGCCTTTGCTTGGAGCTAAAAGATAGTGAGTACAGAGTCTGGCCTTGGAGCTGAAATTTCATTCTGATTTGGGATTGCAGGAAATAAATGATTAATTGAAAAATACAGTTAGTGGTAATTTTTTAGGAAGTTTTAATGTACGTTGCTCTGGTATTTCTTAAACTGAAGCATTGTACTTTAAAATGTATATTGTGTATGAACGTGTGTGTGTGTGTGTGTGTGTGTGTGTGTGTGTGTGTGTGAGGCAGTACGTTACAATAACTTGCTAATTTTTATTTAGGAATAAGTGTACATTACTGAAATCAAATTCTCTGTTATTCCTTAAAGGTTTTGGAATACGTCTTTAGTGTTTATATGTAGCAGCCAGAATGACGTTGTACTGTGTAACTACTGCTTGTGAGTCTTTCAGTTATCAGAGTTAATCTGAGCACTAAGAAGGCTTTTTTATAAAATGTACAGAACATGCCAGATCTGGAATGACACAGTACATCTTTAATCGTTACGATCCAGTACATGAAAACCATCTTTAAATTAGTAAAATATTTAGAGAGCAAGTTACATGTATATCATGACTACCGAAAGGATTTAACCGGTAATGCAATATGTTCCTGCTTCAATATTGTAGTAGGTATATTAAAAGGCTTAACTGTCTGAAAAGAGCTATATGGCATGTTACATGTCGTATCTGGATTTAAACCTAGATATGAATCTAAATATCTCTTTCACAACCTTCCGAAAATATATTTTACTGAAGTTTTATTTACAGCCATTAAGAAAATAAAAACTAATCTCAAATATTACATTTTAGGCTCTTGTCAAATTGTCTTCAATTTTAGTATTAAATGTACTTTTTATAAACTTTTGGATGTGATCCCAATATACATTTTACAAATGTAAAAATATACTTTATCTATAAATAAAACCTCTTGAAACTGATAGAGGTTTATCATCTAAGATATGATTTATGTTCAACTGCATTTGCCACGTACTCACACTTAGTGAGGATTCATGTTGAGATAATTTTGGAAAATCATACCAAGATGAAATATAGTTTAAATCTTAATGAAACATTTCCTATTTTCATAGGCCATAGCTTTCAGGTCTATATCTTTGTAGCTAGTCTCTCTTTTTAAAATAGTCTGACTGGCACCATGTATGCAGAATCTGATTTCTGTTTGTAGATAATTTTGGGATTTATATATGACAGTTTGAAAAACCTATAAATATCAATATCTCAATATTTCGAATGACTAAATGACTAAATTGTAACAAAGAACCGTGTCTTAGCCAGGTGAGACTAACTAGACAAATCTTAATTTTCTGAGAAATAGAAAGTCACACATCTCTGTTAATTTTGAGGATATAATTTAAGGCAACATTAAT